ATATATATATATATATATATATATATATATTATCGTATTACAAATGGATGCAGTTAACATGTTACAGACATTGTTTGTGTACTCTTTTCGCGGCAAAAAGGGGCATAATCGAATCTCACTATAAATCCGTGCCTCCTCAAAATAGCATGGATGTGAATGAAAGGATGTGGAAAAGACGACAAACAGACCGAACAACACTTACAAATGTTTTAAAAGTTAACTACACATTGTGGGACGCTCCTTTGATCAGCTAAACACAGAACTTTGCCTCCGGTGTTAGATTCCGTTCTATGAGAAGGTGATTCCTTTCACATGTGTGTAACTCCTAACAGATATAAGTCGTAATAATCTGTGAAAACAAAGGAGTTATTGGTTTTCCCGCGTCGTTATCAGCCATCAATCGTCGACACCAAATCCAGGGACATATGGACAATAAACCGAGGAGCAGTGATTGGATGACAGCTCAAATTGACTTCCGACAGTTTAATAGACAAGTAATGAACCTGCTGGGACATCGTAACCGGTCTGACTACCATCGCTGGGACATGATCACTTGATCGCCACGATTCCCGCACAGATAGCGCCTGAACACGGCGACCGAAAAAACAACATTTGCCCAAGCCCAAACAGCTACCATTCGACTTTATCTCTGGGGATAACGATATCCGGGAGCAAACCGTGCGAGGGGGTCCGATCCGACGGAGCCCGGAGATAAGCCGCTCTAAGCTCGAACGTCTTCGGCGAAAAACCGTCCCGCGTGAGCACGCCGCGTGCGGGCGACTCACTGCGCCGACGCTGAATAAAATAGCAATTAGAGCCGATGGGCCATCCGTTACCGAGGCGTGGCCGGTGGCCCGGCTGGCGCGGCGTGCATATGAATGCGCCTGCGACCGCTTCCGCTGGTGCTCGGCGTCTTTCCCCCAAGGTTCCCCGACGGAATTACGGCACGGAGATCAGGCGATCGCGGCCGGTGAATAGCGATGAGGCGCGGCCGCTGGGCGCGCGGCGAACTGCTGGGCGTGGAGCGAACTGCTGGGCGTGGAGCGGGCCGTGCTCGGGCCGTCATCGAACGCCCGCAAACTCCACCTCGAATGCCGGCGGTTCTTCACTTGTTCGTCATCGGTGCTTTACCACGCACGTAACGCAGACGGGAAGAAGTATTCCGTTTCACAAACAGCGGCGCCGCCGGCGGCTGCTTGCTCTACTAATGTGCACTTCTCAGCTGTGGTACGCCCGTGCGTATATCCCTCAGACAGATACGACATGAAGCGACTAGGGCGATCCGTCCCGGCAAACCAGCGTTAACGGCCAACAGCACAAGGATTGCAAAAAGCCTGTTGTCCGACGCACAAAACACAAGTTGGTCACATCTACCTGGCTTCTTCTGAACCATGATCTTATGGAGCGGCAAGTGGCTTCCACGGCAGTTTACAACACGATGACCATGTGTCAGTGAGAACTATCTAATAACAGTTGCAGTGGTGTCTAGTGGTAGTGGGCAGTAAGCAGCTAGTGGTCTTGCCGGTTCGAATGCACCGCAAGGGCATCGTTTTACTTAACAAATTGGTTAATAAAGACTGAACAATCTATTAAAATACGCATATTGTAATTTGTTATGATATTAGGCACCACAAATGTCAAGCGGCTGTTACCAGCCAGCCTGTATGTGTCCACTCAGTTGTCTGGACAGCAGTGGAAGATGCATCATACCGCTACCGACAGCCGGGAACACACCATCCCCGGTTTGCTAGTTCTCATCACTTCGCAGTCATATTTCCAAAGAGATGATACAACTGCATAATACATATCAAACGTTCAGAGTTAACTGGCCCGTCACTGGTACAGCCATATTACCATACTACACCGCATATGTCAACATTTGCAAACTAAGTTAAAATTTGCAGAATCATGTGCTGTGTAGAAGTCATTACAACTACTAATGTGGGGCACCAGGAGCAAAATGTGAAGCACCAGGAGAGAAAAAAAGATTAGCGAGGTTATTGAATCCAAGCATCTGTTGTTTGGCTGCCGATGGCCCAAGCCAGGCGTGGCTTTCCTATCATCAACGGGCCAATTTATCATTACACTTCATTAGTTCACAACTGCATCACCATTGGCGTCATTAATGTTAAAGTGGAAACATAATTGAGCCAAATAAGAAAAACGTGCCAGCTGGACAGCCGGGACAAAAGCGCACAGGAACCAGGTCGGGCGACGGGCTGACATTGCCCTGAGGCTGCCGGAATCAGGGGCGTCATGTCCTCAGCCCGGCTCCCTGAACTGAAGCCCGATGGGCGGGGCCAGCTGCCATGCGGGCGCCTGATTGGCCACGAGGCCATGAGTCGCCGGATCGACGTCGCCCGCGGCGTATAACAGATGCGGGTCTGCCAACTGGTCCGTAAACGTGATACCCACTGGCGGCCAGTGGCGACGGTAATCTAGTTTGTAATGTGCGGCTACACCTGATTATTGATAACTAATCACCGTCGGAGATGCCCGGAGTCATTGTGGGCGTCTCAAGACACTATCGGTGCGCTCCAAAACGGTGCTTTCAGCAATGATGACCGCAATGTGAACGTGAGTACCGAGCAGTGCCTTTCGCCGACTACAAATTACACGCAATCCACCGGACTGTCAGAGAGTAGGAGCTGTTTGGATGCTGGATTCGGCAAACCCCAAGGCGACCACCGCATTTACATTCGCCGTGGTGCACCTGAATAAATTCGACCGACGTGCATAAAAGCTACCGAATGAAGACGGCAGCCATGAAGTGAGCTTGTCACGAATGGTGCCGGGTGCTTCCATTCCATAAGGTAGCGAGGTAGCCGCTGGATTGCTCCTCTGCTGCTGTGAAACTGTGAGAGCGATGGTTTCCCTGTCTGTCGGCACGGAGCACCGAGCCAATTGGCTAGTGGGCTTTATTAGGCCTGGTTAATTACCTGACATCAAAATCTTGAAATGACGCGTGTGTCGTGGCTTTGAGCCACATTTGGTGGCCGCACTACCGCCAAGTTAATGCGGCGTCTAGGTGTGGGAGGGCCGCACAAACATGAGCACGTACTGAGTTTTGTATTTACAATGCAACATGCTTACAGCACTGCTGTGTCCGAATGGAATGAGCCCTGAAGGTATCCGAAATAAAGTGACAGCTTACTGTAAGACTAGCGGAAAGACTGCTGCAAAATTTCTGAGCTCAGCGGAAGTGCTCAGTCATTGGCGACTTGCCAAATTCGCGACGGCGAATGAGACTCTCCGGTGTCAGGCAGACCCAGTATGCGGTTGCCTTTGCTCTGCGCGCGCGAGCACGCGGCATGCGGTTCCGTGAAGCGCGGGCAAGATTACTCCATCTTTGAGCGTAGAGGTCAGCTGCCAAGTGTTCATAAACGCAGGCTGCGAAACCGCCTGAGAAGCTAATCAGTTTTCCACTTTCACGTTTCTTCGTTCAAAGCGCGGCCTTGTACCACCAGCATTACGCGTTCCACCTGAGCTCTGGATGTCGTGGGAGTACATGCGCAGCTGCCACTGAGCTTGAAGTGCATCCTCTCCGTTTGGTTGAAATCGGGAGGACAGATCGCGTCGGTGTCAACACAGACCCAAAATACATCGCGAGATGAAAGAATGGACAGACGGATTTCTGCTAAGCATCATCTCACCACAAACGCTTCGACCCTGTGAAACCGCTGAGCGTTTTCCCAGCGTGTGTGTCCAGTTCAGGACACTGGATGCGTGCCCAGTCAAACATGAGACGCATCAGCAGTACTGGTGCATGCCTCACCCCCGTATAGCCCCAAAGCCCCGACGTGCTGACCCAAACCACGGCCACCACCGCGCCAGCTCCTCTCAGCCGTGGCCCGAGCTCCTGCCCTCCCTCGGGATGAAAGGGGGCACGCCCCACCCCCAGTCCCGCCGCTGGGGCGGCGTGAAGCCGGCGCAGGGGGGGGGGAGACGAGGCGCCCGCTCCAGGCCGTACCCATCACCCAGCTGTGTGCGGGGGCCGGGAGCTGGGGGCGGGGGAGGGGGAGCTTCCGCTGCGCCCGCCGCCGGCCGTCGATGGACGCGGGCGGCCGGGCGCCTGGGGTCGGCCTGGCAACAGAGGCCGTCGCCGCCGCGGCCGCGCGGCCGGTGCATAAATAAACAGCCACCGGGCAGGTGATCCTGGCCGGCCACGGCGACCCGCGGCCGCTGGGGCCAGCACGCTCGGACAACCACCAACAACCACCAACGGCTACAGGGGCAGCGGCACGCAGACCAGTACGGCGCGACAGTCGGCTGGCACTGGGGCTGGTACATTCGGACCGGCGACCCGTGGCCACTGGGGCAGCGGCACACAGACCAGTACGGCGCGACAGTCGGCTGGCACTGGGGCCGGCACATTCGGACCGGCGACCCGTGGCCACTTGAGCAGCGACACACAGACCGGTACGGCGCGACAGTCGGCTGGCACTGGGGCCGGCACATTCGGACCGGCGACCAACGGCCATCAAGGCCGGGGCTCTCGAGACTGGCAGAGCGTGCCGATCAACGAACGCTGACGCGGAGCCCCTGTGATGAACTGATCAGCACCCTTGGTGGCAGGGACGTGTGAGCCGGCGTGCCTCGAACAGCGATGCGTGGCGGATTGGCATTGAGGGTTGCTGATGAGCGCAGGCGCCAGATGAGAAAGGCCAAAAAACACATCCGGCGCAAATCCGTTGACGCTGTTGCGACAAGGAGGCGAGTCACGCTCTTCCAGAAAAAAACTGAACAAGGAAGAATCCGTATCACCATTTGTTGACAGCCAGGAAATGAAGGTAGAATGCATTTTTAGGCTCCTTAAAGAACCTTGCCGCCAAACTGTCCCTAATGCGCACAGCTGCACATTGCAAGTATAAACATTTAATTCCAAGAGCGCCGATGCTCACGACAAAGTTGCGATGACAGGGATCACAGGCCAGACAAAGACCAGCCTGATCGCAATCACGCCGCGCCCAATCTCAACACGCGCCCGCACAGCTACGCACCAATGCAGTGTCGACTGGCTGGCCGGCAGACGCCGCTCCCGTCGAGCCGCGAACAACACTCGAGCGTCACCGGAGGGGCGCGCGGGCGGCGCCGACGCCGCCGACTCACTGTTCACCGACGGGCGTGTCACCCGCCGCCGGTCGCGGGCAGAACTGCGCACGGGTCGCCAATTCACCAAAACCCGGGAGGAGCGCTTTCTCATGCAAATACGGCGAGCACCGCCCCTCCGACCGCCCGTCCCTAGAGCTCCGCACGGACTGGCGACCGAACCGTCGGCCGGGCGGCGCGGCGCAGAGCGGCGCCCGGCCGCAAACCCGCCCACGGCAGAGGTCTGAATGGACATGGGCGGGTAAGGGGAGGTGTGGCCACTGGCTGCGCGTCCCGGGCCCCCCGGCGAGGGGCGGAGTGCTCCCCGAGGCTGAGAACAGGATAGTGGAAAATTAGCGATTAATTTCGGTGAGAGTGAGCGCGTGGGTGGGAATGGGTCTTTGCAACACAACTGAATACGAATGGCGCGTAATGTGCCACAAGGGCAAATGATGGGATTGAAGATGTTGAAGGTAACTTGTGAGGTGTCCTGCCAATAGCGATAAGTGGTCCTTTGGCATCTGTTTTAGCTCAGCAAGAGGAGGTCAGATGTAATTAACACTCACTGATTCAAAGCCCGAAATGGAACACGGATAACGAATGGCAATCTGATCATCTGAGTCCTGACGTGCTTTATTAAGACCTTTGCGCACAGCAAGGTAGCACGTACCGCAATAAGACTAATTGCGGCTTAATTTAAGACATCGAAAATGGGGACTCTGTATCTCGTTTTGCACATCCAGGCATGGTCAGCCTATCCGCGGGCTTATATATGAAATGCTCACGTTATCTCTAGAAACCTCTCAGACGCTCTGACTCTGCTAATCTGACTTATCACCGATAATTGTCAGTGTGAGATTATGCACGCTGTAAAAATCAGCCCCTTAGCGCGACGCTACAATTCCAGATTAATTATGTGTGAAGAAAGATGATCATTGGGTCATGTTTTTGCGTCGTTCAAAAGCAACGATAACAACAGCAGCGTGTACATTTCAGGCTCGGTTTGTCCTCGGTGCAACGTGCCAATACATCACCATGCATGCCTGGATACATTCACGGCAAATATTTTAACTTGGTTTGATATTGTGAACAGAGATATCCTGACTCCCATACGCAACGAAATGCTGCCAAATATGATTTTACCAACGTATTTAAAGCTCTAGTCACTGAATGCTGGAAAGAAACGGCCAGCACGCGTGATCACGCATGATATCGACATTTGGTTGGTCATGTCAACCAATCTCTACAATTCCCGGTCGTTGATTGGTTCGATATGATGTCATAACCCAGCATGACGCAGCCGGGCCGAATATTTTCTTTTGCCTTGTTACAATGCTTCCAGCAATTTATTAGGAAGACAAATAGCATCACTATGTCGAGCGTGCGCTGCCGTTTTATCCCTTCGTGATGGTCACACAAGTTGAAACATTTCCAGCAATATAATTCAGTCCGACCTATCAAACATTCAGCATAAATTACTTGAGAAAATACGTGGAGAAACCGGACTGCGCTTGTGATGGACGGCCGACCGCAAGTGACGAATGTCTGCGCGCCACCCTACCTGGCAGGAGGCCGTTTAGTGACGCGTTCTCCCAGATCGCATGGCTCCATACACAATGGCCGGCGTGCCGCCTGGGCATCCATGCAAACGCCCATCGACCTCGATAATGTGTCGGACCAAAACAGGCGCCGCTCGTGCACGATGCCCAGCGCACACCGCGGGCATCAGGCGATCTGGAGACACGTGATCGCCGTTCTAGTGACCGACGTCTAGCCAAACCCCGGCATCCCTCCAGCGCTGCGGCGGCCGGAGGGGCCAGACACGACAGAGTGTTCGAGACAAGTCTCGAGAGAGGACAGAACAGGCTCAGAGAGGAAGGGCAGGTCTAGAGAAGGAGGAACAGGCCCAGAGGGGGAGGGGCAGGTCCACGGTGGGCAGGACAGGCCCAAGGGGCGGACAGTTCTAAAGAGGACGCGGCGGGTCACAAGAGAGGGCGGGACGAAAGACCGTCCCAGGCCGCTGCGCCTCGCCCGGACGAGGACGAGCATCACCACGGACGAGGACGAGCCGCTGGCGTGACGAGCCAAGGAAAAACGGCGCGGAAAACGAGCCGGGCGTGCCAGCGCCCAGACAATGCCCAGCTCCACACCCAGTCACCGGCGCCCCCGCCCTTAGTTTTCCTGATAACAGGCCTGCGGTAAGAATCGAATTTTTAGATGCCAGCGTTATACCTTATGGAACAGACTAGGCTTATCGAGTCAAATACAAAACTCATAACGGATACGAATCTGGCCCGGTACCCGAATTGTGCCCGGTTGCGAGCACTTTTTACACATGAGGGCCGGATCTGATACCGTCCTCGGTATGTCAGGAACAGTGATGCGGGCTATGGGGCCAGTCCATTGGTCAAACAGACACAGTAACTGTGATGAGCTGGCTGACAGACCGCCATTTCTTTTGGAAGGATGGATGTGACGGACTCACTGATGAGCGTGCGACCCAGCTGCGTGCAATGGAACTTCCACGCGTAGCTCGCATGTTGCCATTGGGCCGCACATGCACAATTACACAAACACAAACAGGATAGGGGAGTTTCATGACTGTAATTTTCCCTTTCCCAGCGTGCATACCAGACAGGATGAGGTCTTCTGAAACCAACAACCCGCCCCCGCTCTCCGTTCCAAGCCTCGACAAAGCTTTTCCTGCTGATGTTGGTTTCGAGTCCACGAGTTAAGCGACGCCCTCTTTTGCGCGTCGAGGTGCATAGAGCAGCCTTATGACGCGGCATACAGACGAAGGGTGATTGCAGGACGGCCGTGGTTCCAGGGCTTCACCAGGAAATTGATGGCGTAGAGAGCACCATGGTAGGTGGCAGCACTTGCAGGAAGGCTCTGCCAACAAACGCGGCGATGGGAGGCCCAGCAACACTTCAAAAACGGACGCGTCAGTAATGCACACACGTAGGACGGGGGTCATTTGAGAGCCGCTTCATACTCTTGCTTTACCGTTCGGTCTTCGTTAACGTTATTCAGCCGCCGGATGGCATACTGGGTGAACCGGGTGATTGGGCATCATTACGCAACAACTGACGGACATCGAACAGCCCGAGTTTCAGTCTCTTGTCCTGGGTCCTCGCTTCATCGGACATGCGCATGGCACTCCGTCTTATCGGAAGTGTGCCGTAACCAAAAGTTAAGAGGTGACGCTACGGCCACCCTTCCTCATGTCGGGGGTCCCGCCTGAACCCCTCACCCCTCGTACCATCGAAGTGCGGGTAAGACTCGTCGGCGGTGGTGCCCTGAACTGGCTGCGGAGCCGCACAGTTTCTTAGCTCTCTCCTTAACCTCACAGCTTCGCAATGGTCAGTCGTGAATGGAAGAGTTCTGGCCTCGCCAAGCCAAAGGCGTGCCGATCCGTTTCTTGTCCCCGAAAAAGAAAATGGTGACCATGATTTGAAATGTATCACCATAAATAGCATTAATTACATACTGCCCATATATCAGATGCATACCCACCGCATGTTGCCCAGATGTTACGCTAGTTATCGTGATTAGTATCTTACCACCAGGGGGTTACTTAATAAAAAAGTCTAGTCTATCATCGATTTACGGAATCACTGACGAAATTACGCATAAAAGCATCTCACCATGGAATGGACACCAATGACATCACAGTAGAAAACACATTGTCCCTGAAAATGTGCCTTTCCCGGAAGTTCAGGACCGTGTCAGAAACAGCAAGAGAGAAAAAAACACACTCGGCTAACCTAGGGACCTACTCTGAATGTACTCCGAGTCGATCAGTGGACCCTTTGGGGTCTACTGGCGCTGATAAACACCGCATCACCTCCATTTCGTAAAACAAAAAACCGACACCTGAGAATGAAGCCCGTCAAGGTCTATGAAAATATATACCGGGTCTGGGCGGCGGCATATTTACCTGATGCTCAGGATAACCTGATCGCAGATAGCGATCGACACCGACGTGGTGATTAATGAGATGTATGCCAGCAATCGTGTGCTGTCCTTGGGAATACCCATTAACATGGGTCTAAATCAGTTCCGCAGCGGGCCACCGTTCCAGATGTGTCCAAACAGACCACCGAGGGAGGTGGTCCGGGCTTGAGGACAGGCGCGGCCGCACCCAGCACCCACCGGGTGCTGAGTCCCCACAGCACCCGGCACCCGCAGCGCATCGAGTCGACGCAACACTAGCGCCCACGGCGGCCAAGACCGCGCGGCGTCCAGCACCGCTGGGACCCCGGCCCAGCTGCTTCCGCACCCATGTGCTGGTGCTATGGACAGCTGTGGGCAGGTGCTGCACCCCTCAAGCCCGACCTGCCCAGGCAGGCGATGTTGACATGAGCACCGCAG